ATTAAAAAATAGACAAACTTGACCGTAACTTTTCCACTTGAGCACATTTTTTTCGCTCCAGTTATTTTTTGTTTTCCAGATTTTCTTGAAGAAAAGTGAGCTCCACTTTACAATGCCAACATTTTTATATTCCCAGATAGCCCCTACAAAAGCAAACGTTGTTAGAATAAAAAAGGCCCTTATTTCCTACTCCCAAAGGCTGTTGAATTCCCAATGAAAATTGGGTCATGTAGTGTGCAGTTTTAATCTCCATTCGTTCATTTTCCAAAATGCTCAATGTCCAGTTGACCCTCCAGCACGTGAGACCATGAAACACCCATGCTTTGGCCCCTTCTTTTGACCAATTTAATAATCCAAGATGCCTCAAATTACCCCATTTGATAGTCTTAAAAGAATTCTTGAGATTTGTAGCTTCACATGGCAATATTCGTGCATATGGGGGTGTGATATATGCGTGCATTAAACAATACAAAAGCTTCCATTGTACTTTAGTGCCCATTCTTTTATTTCCCAAAGTGCAGTCGTGGATTATAGAATTTAAAAACTGTCTTGGCCTTTGTTTAGTGCCTAGCATTTCCTCCAAGTCACGCTTGTTCCCCCATGATTGTTGACCATCCAATGCCTTTATCGATTGATGTTGTGCTCGATGAAAGGTGTGCTTTTGAACTTCATCGTGGCTTGTCTCTTTTGCATCGTACCAAGTAAAAGCTCGCCAAAATACGTGTTGCTGCAATAACTTATCGTAACGGTTCTCTTCAATTTGTCCATTGCATTTGTCGAGCTTCTTTTTCAGTGTTCCAAACGTGCACCTAGCTGTTGAATTGGCAATGACTCTCTCACTGATGCCTATGACCTTTTTCCAGACTACCCTCTCCCATGTGACATTGTGCTCACAGCCTCCAACATAGACCACCTTTCTTGGATTACGCTTGAGATGCCAATGAAGACAAACATGCAGTGCAAAAAGCTGTGACCATTGCTTTTTTATTCTCTCGAGTGATGCTGGTGCATATGGTGTTGTGAAACCAATGTCACGCTCAAATTGTTAAGCTGATCCTGCACATTTCTAATTCTTTGACTTAAAATGACGTGAACTCCCAACTGTCCTTTCTCTTAAAACATCTGGATCCAATTCTTAATCTCCATATTTTTTCTATCCTTTTGAGTTCTCTTGACAAAGTAACAAAGTTTTTTTCTTGTTTGTTGATGCTTCCATGGTTTGTATCACTGCCCAGCTGCAAGTTACTTCCATTGGAAAGAATGCATTGCATTAATACCACCACTGGAGATTTCTTGGCAACAAAGTACAACAGTACAAATTTAGTACCTGCAAAAAGGTAAGAAATGTTATTGAATATCCCCATGTTGTCCTTTGTTTCTTCCCTTTCTTTCTCAAGTTTCTTGCAACTCTTATTCTCAGTTTTGGACATTGTAGCTTATCTTCATTTACCATCCTCCTGCTCGATACATCAAGTTCCTAGAAATCAGAACTCTCGATGTTACCACTGTCAAGAGCATAGTTTGCAAGGTGATCTGCTAGTTTGTTTCCCTCTATAAATATATGGGATATTTTGAAATTACACCTCTCTTTGAGACTATTGATTTCCTATACTGCATCTACAATATTCCAAGGTGGTTTCCACAGTCCATCTATAATGTTTTTAAGCATCAATGAGTCTGTCTATAGCCAAATGTTGCTGAAGTTCATTGCTCTACACATTCTCATTGCCTCTACTAATGCTGTCGCCTCTACTTCATTATTAGATCCCTCCTTTATTTCTCTTCTTGTTGCATATCTGATATCTCCAAATTCATCCCTGAGAACTATCCCAATTGCACTCCTGCCATGATTCCCTCTTGATGCCCCATCTGTATTGGCTTTGATCCAACCATTACTTGGCTGCTCCCATAACACCTTTTCCCACCTCAATTTAGGAACATAATTCTCTAAAGTATGCAGTAAGTCTTGCCATTTATGAGGTACGTAAATGCCTGGTTTCCTGAGTTTCACTAGAGCTTGAATTGTGGGTGAAACTTGATAAATTACCCTGTTGACACATACAACATCCCCATATTTCAGTGAATTCCTCCTTTTCCATAGCTCCCAAACAATACACGCTGGCAGTGCTTGCATGATAGGCTTCAATCTAGGTACAACTGGTGTTGTCCAACACTTTGTAATTGCTTGTTGTAATGATAACACTTGTAATGCAATTCCTGCTCTCCTCAGGAAGTAATTCCAAACACTCCTAGTTGCGTTGGATGTGAAGAACAAATGTATTAACGACTCCTCCTTAGGATCAGCACAGCACCAACATTTAGATGGCATAGAGTATCCTATTTTCCACAAGAAATCATCAAGTGACAGCTTGGCTTTCCACAACTTCCACAGGAAGAAGGATATCTTGAAAGGTAAGCCTTTGACCCATATCATCTTGTAAGCTAATCTTGGGTTGTCTCTTCTTCGCAGGTAATCCCATGCAGACTTCACTGAAAAATGACCTCTTGTTTCAAGCATCCAGAATGGTGTATCTAACTCTGCACATTCGTTTGGTGGTCTAATATTCTGCATAATGTGGTTTGCCACAATCTTCAGGTAAAGTCTGAAATATTTTTTCCAAGTTCCACATACCATTTTTAACTAGATCATTGACATTGTGAATATCCTCATCGATACCAAACTCTGCACACACTTGGAAATATAAGGCTCCCAGCTAAGTCCAATTGTCGAACCAGAATTGAGCTGATCCCATTCTCTGTTTCCAGTAGATTTGATGCTCAATCAAGTCCCTACATTCTAGCATTTTTCTCCACATGTGGGATCCACGCTTCCAAGGTACAATTACTGGATTTAGTTTCTTGCAGTACTTTTGACTAATAAATGCACTCCATAAACTAGGCTTTGTCTTGAAATTCCACCACAATTTACAGAATAGTGCATTGGATACATCATGTAGGGACCTGAAGCCTATGTCTCCCTCCTCATAAGGCATACAAAGGTTAGTCCACGATGACCAATGTCTAGAGTTGCATCCCACATTGCTGCACCAGAAGAATTTGGCAGAAATGCTATGTAACTTATTGATCACATAAATTGGTGGATTAACTGTTGACAACATATGAATTGGGATACTCTGCATGACATTTGCGATCAATACAGCTCTGCCTCCTACAAATAGGAGTTTGCCTTTCCACGACTGCAGTTTGTCGATGACCTTAGTGATTAATCCTTGGTAATAGTCACTCCTTGTTCTTGCATAAACAATAGGGCAACCAAGATAGGTCATAGGGAAACATTGTCTTCCTATACCTGTAATCCTTTCAACCTTGTTAATAACCTCATTATTCATTAAATGATGTAGGTATATGGCAGATTTGGCTTTGTTCACCAGTTGACAAGACGATGATTCATAAGTTTGCAAAACTTCCATGACAAGTCTCAGTGAAGTTTCATCAGATGAGGAGAAAATGATTGTATCATCAGCGTATGATAGATGATTTATTTTTGGGCTCCATTTTGGCATTCCAAATCCACAGAAATACAGGTTAGTGTGTAGTGAATTCAATTCCCGAGATATTACTTCTGCTGGTAGAATGAATAGGGTTGGTGACAAAGGGTCACGCTGCTTAACTCCCCTCGAAGATTTGAAGAAACCATTTGGCTGCCCATTTATAAGAATAGAGTACCAATTATTCCAAATCAAATCAAAGATCAATCCAATAAACGCTTCAGGAAATCCCATCTTCCTTAGCATTTTGGTCAGGAATAGCCATGATAGCCTATTGTAAGCTTTTGTCATGTTGAGCTTAATCACAACATTTGGGCCTGCTTTTGTTCTCAACCTAATATCCGTAATGATTTCTTGAGTTAACAGTACATTCTCAACTATACTTCTTCCCTTCACAAAACCTGCCTGTTCCTGTGAGATTAAGTTTGGTAAAAATTCAACCAACCTTTCATGAATAACCCTCGAGAAAATCATGTTAACAAAGTTGCTGAGACTGATTGGTCTCATGTCTGCAAAGGTCATAACTTCTTTTTTCTTTGGTAATAAAACCAGGTTTGTGTGTGTCACACTCTTTGGCAATTGCTGACTGCAAAAGAAAGCCTTGACCATGCCTACTACATATTCTTCAATGATTTCCCAGCATGTTTGGTAAAAGGCTCCAGTGAAGCCATCCGGTCCACCTGCTGAGTCCCCATTCAACCCCATAACTTCTCTCTTCACTTCTTCATTGGAAGGCAAAGCCATCAATCTTTCATGTTGATCACTATCTACCATTGAAGGTACATGATTTAGAATATCAAAAGCATTAGGAACTTCGCTCTCAGTAAATTGATCCTTGTAGAACTTTAGTGCTTATTCTGCTATTAAGTAATCTTCTTCAATCCAGTTACCAAGGCTATTCTGGATCCTTGATAATTTCAGTCTCTTCCTTCTCCAATTAACTTGAGCATGGAAGAATTTAGTGTTTCTATCGCCAACTTTGAACCATAACATGCTAGCTTTTTGTCTCCAAAATGCTTCTTCTAATGCAAGATATTTAATCATTTCAGCTTGTACCTGTTGTAATCTTTGTCTGTTCATCTGTGTAGGATTGACTTCAAATTGCCTTTCATGAACCAAGACCACCTCCTCCAGGCTTGCAATCTTCTGGAATATATCCCCATATGTAGCTCTGCTCCAGGTAGATAGTGCTTTCTTAAGGTTCTTTAACTTGTAGTTAAAAATGCAGAAATGGTTAGCACTAAAATCAGCATTCTAATTCTCCTTTACTACATCTTTGAAGGATTCATGCTTAGTCCAGAAGTTAAGAAATCTGAATGACTTCTTAATTGGAGGAGTTTCTATATCACATTTCAGCAGCATTGGGCAATGATCAGACCCAATTTTGGATAGGTGAGTTACCTCCAATCCAGGAAAGGTCTGTTGCAATTCATGATTGCCAAAACATTTGTCCAATCTTTTAAAAATACAGTCTTCCTCTGATCTTCCATTTCACCATGTAAATATGCTTCCTTTTAATCCTAAATTTGTCAAGTTGCAGGTATTAATGTAGTGCCTAAAGTTATCTACTTCAATGAGAGAAACTGGTAAGCCTCCAAATTTCTCTTCCTCATCATATATCACATTAAAGTTGCCTCCAACTAGCCATGGTACCGTCATATCTGATGCCATTGCATACAAAGAATCCCATAGTTCAATTCTTTCAATGCGATCACATTTAGCATAAACTAGTGTAAGGATGAGCTCAACATGTGTTTCAGTGTGCGTTAATCTCAAAGTCAGCTGTTGAGTCATGTTATATAGAATAGTAACCTCAAATATTTCATCAATAAAAGCCCAAATCTTGTTTGATACATTCACCACAGCCTGTGCCAAACCAATTCTTGCTCTATACCTCTCCATTTTGTGAGACTGTTGCATAGGCTCACGGATTCCTATGAACTCAAAGTGATGTTTTCTGTGCATTGTAATCAGCCTTTCAAATGCTTGCATTGTATTTACTGACCTGACATTCCATATAATTGCATCCATTAAATGTTTTGGGGTTTGGATAGTGTTCTCCTTGTTTGTACTCCACTTGCTGGGACAGTAGAAGTCTGTTTTGACTGTTTCTTTTTTCCTTTTGTTGCAAATTTTACAATATCAATAAGCCATGGCGACAGATCACCCTGCTTGGCAACATTAAGGAAATTTTGTGTAGTGGATTCCTCATCCATGTCTCTACCTTTAAGTTCTGCGTGTCCAACTTGGTCATGTGCTTCTATTGCTTCTTTGATGTCACAACATCATATGCCTGCTTGGTAAGTTCAACATCTTTTTCCTGATTAGTAAGTTCAACAGCTTTTTCCTCATGTTCATTGGTCAACAGCTGTATATTGTTCGATGGAACAACACTTCCTACTACATCCTTCACTGTGCTCAATAGTACAAGCACTTCTTGGTTCCTATCTTAAGATTTAATTACGTTTATAATTAAAAAATTGATTCCAATATTTTTAATTTAATATTTATACATTATTAATTAATTTAGTACTTTCAATTTGTTTTCAGAAATTATTTTACTATTTTTTATAAAATAAAAGGGAGAAAATGGCTTTTTAAATACCGGCCCAATTTTATTTCAATTTTAGCCTAAAATCAGCCCCAATTAACCCCAATTTCAAATTCAAATGGTCCAGCCCAATTCCTAAAATAACCGGGCCCTAACCCGCTTATACAACCCACCCAATTTCCCCTTTTAATCCAGTTCGTTGATCATTTTGATCAACGGCCAGAATTTCCCCTTTCCTTTTTTAATTCCCAAACACCCCGAACCCTATCCCATTTCTCACCAACTGCCACATTTGAATCCTCTCATCTCTCAAACTCTCTCAAACCTTCCCCTAACCCTAGCAGCCACTCATCATCCTCACCTCAAAACCCACCGGAATCCATGGCTTCTCAAGCCATGGAAACCTTATACTCACCTCCCTTTGATCTTATAAACTTGGTCCTTGAAGATTCGAGGTCTAAACTCGAACGTTTTCGTCCAGATCTTCGCCGATTCAATGTTCTACATCCATCTCCGGCTTTGCTCTGGCGTATCCTGGTCTTATGCGCCTGCTTCTGACTTCTTCGACTCAGATCGGAGACCTTTTCAAAGCATTTCTCATTGTAGGGTTCTTTTGAAACCCTAACCCTTCGAGGTTTTCTCTGATTTTATCTTAGATTTATTCTATATTTGTGCTCTACTTGAGTTTTTAAACGTTTTCCCCAACTTTTATTTCAAAAATTACTTCTTTCTGATTTAGGGTTTCTAAGAATGCTTAAAATGTTTCTCCAACTCTTCTTTTCCTTTCTTTGTGTATATTTGTCATGCATGTGCTTCTACTACTTTCTTATGCTATACATGTTCTTCTGTGCTTTGTTTTTCTATTGTGTTTTATACCATGCTCGCATGCTTATCTTGTTGTATTTTCCTATATGATCTTTTGCTATGCTTTTCCAGTATTTTTGTGTTCTTCTACTATATGTGTTTCCTACTAAGTTCTTAAGTTTTGTTTGCCTTCTACTGAACTTTGTCTGAGTTCTTCTAAAAGACCTATTTAAACATGTATCTTCTACGGTTTTCTTAAGTGTTATACCATCTCTTTTCTCCTATGAACCTTGGCTAAGTTCCTTCTGAAAAGTACTTTCTTCTGCTATATCTCCTATTGGTTTCCCAAGTGTTATTGCTTTTTCTTCTACTGAACCCTGTTTAAGTCCCTTCGAAAAGGTTTTCTTAAACACGTTTCTTTTACTGTCGTGACTATTCTCTCATTATGCTCCTACAATCTGTCTGCTTTGAATGTTATTTGTATTTGTCTGTCTTCTCATGAGATTCTGAAAAGAAATCTCTAAGCCTGTTACCTCCTCATCTATGTATTCGACTCGAGTCGGAAACCCTAAAATTTGGGGGTTTCCTCCGAGTTTGGTCATATGATCAAACTAGGGTTCTGTTTGATGACCTTGACTCTTTTAGACTTATTTCTGGGTCTATGAACTAAGTGTGAACTTCTTTTGTTTGCACACAATTTTGATTCTCCTACACTAGACTCTTCTATTGAATAACATGACAAATTTCTTCATGTTTAACGTGTCTGTGTGCTTTTATATATGAGGAATCTTTCTTCAAAAATGTTTTTCAACTTGTGATTGATTTAGAATTCCTTTTAATAAGTTTAATTGATTGGTATTGATTTTCCTTAAGTCGAAATCCATCCCATCTTTCTGACCTGGTTCATTCATACGAAATCCTCAATTTCTGATTTACTAGATGTTAACTGATTTCCTTTTCTTATTTGCAAAAACCATGTACTATCAATACTTTGTCCTTAAATAAATCTCTATGTATTTACCCCTCTTGTACTTCTCTAGAAAAGTTTTGATTGACCCGTTTCCTTAAATATTTTGCCCGTTTGAAATCAGAATCCCTTAATTAAAGAGAGAGTTTGTGTTATTGATTTCCAAACTATTTTCTTACCTATTTCTACTTGCTTTCTGCACTATAAAAGGGCACGAACCTTCTGCACTTTGAGACACCTTCAATTCAATACGTTTACACTTCAGACTTCACAATTCTCTACTAAACTCATAGCATTCTGATTGCTCGTTTACACTTTGGCTTTACAAGACTACTGCTTTCTCTTTGTTTGTTTTCTCTGAAACTGGTATGTCCTAATTTTAGTTTCAACATCCCCAATGTATTTACTTAAAGTTTTTATATCCATGGTTACTTTACTGCTTATGTAGAGTTCAATATTTAACTTAACATGCCTATGTTCTACTGCCTGTTTCTACTGTGAATCTTTGTTCCCTACCCCATTACCCCTATGTGTTTATAAGTGGTGACTTAGGGCATGGCAACATTAGTTGTTGGTCATGACCTATGTTTTGAATCCGTGAGGTCCTAACCTCTAACAGGCTAGAGGGTGTGCCAGCATATCCCATTGTTGAGTATGCCCATCAGTCTGCTTTTCTTGTGTTCTTGCAAATTCCCTACTCCCCTATACCCCTCTAGGCACCAATTTCAAGTTATTCCCCTCTTCCCTTTCCTTTTTTTTCCAGAATTTCACTCCTGCACTTGCACTTTTTTTTATCTTCTAAGTTCTACTCCCCCTCTTGTGAGTCCTACCTTGGGACCTTGAGTTCCCTCTAAACTTGAACACTTGAGGGCTGGCCCTTCCACACTACACTATATCCTAATCTGGTTACACATTTGGGTGTGAGCACTACCCGGAGTCACTATGGGGCTCTTAGGGAACTCTAACACATCCAAATGAGAGAAAGGATTTGGTTCATGATCTCTTGAAGATGGTTCATCTCATACTTCAGACATGGAGTCTGAATTAGGCTCCCCTTGGATGTACTTTAATTGCTAATGTAATTTTGCTTTTCTTATTCATTCGGGGTTGTAATAACTTGTAATAAACGATTGGGGATGGCTAGTGAAAAAGAGAGGGAATAAATGTATGCAAAGGGTAGATAACTTGCCTATAAGTTTACTAATTTTTGCATTCACATAGATTTCCTGCCTATATGTTTACTAATTTCTGCATTCACATAGATATCCTGCCTATAGGTTTATTAATTTCTGCATTTACATCCTGTCTACAGTTTACTTATGAATTTCTGCATATCATGTAGACATCTTGCCTATAAGAGTTTCTTTCTGAAACTATGCACTCACATATAGAAATCATGCCTATAGAATTTTGCATTCGCATAGATTTCCTGCCTATATGTTTACTAATTTCTGCATTCACATAGATATCCTGCCTATAGGTTTATTAATTTCTGCATTTACATCCTGTCTACAGTTTACTTATGAATTTCTGCATATCATGTAGACATCTTGCCTATAAGAGTTTCTTTCTGAAACTATGCACTCACATATAGAAATCATGCCTATAGAATTTTGCATTCGCATATAGACACCGGGACTATTAGAACTTCTGCATTCTCATCTTTAGATAACATGTCTATAAGAATTTCTGCATAGATACCATGGCTATAGGATGAACATGCATGTAGATAATATGCCTATACGACCTTTCTGATTCTTTCATACTCCCCTCTCATTAGGCAAGAATAATTGTAGGCCTTAATAATTAGTGTAAGTAGATATCACGTTCGTAATAAAATACAACACCTAGACAACATGTTTCTGCACTTCTCTATAATAGTGTTTTAAGTTAACAAACACTTAGAAAGCATGCCTATATGGGTTCTAATCAAAATTTGAATTGCCTCACTCCAATTCAAACCCAATTCCCGAAGGGGAACGAGTTGTCCTCCCAAATGTCCTAAACCAGATTTCGCGAAAAAAGGGGGCGCGACAGCATGGCGACTCTGCTGGGGATATACTTTTAGACTTTTACCATTTCAAGCTATTACTGTGACTTTATATTTCTTATGTGCCTTATTTGTTTGATACCTTTAAGAATTTAATTCCCCCTTCTACTGCAAAAACTAACTTGTCTCTTGTTTCTTTCCTTTGTTTTTTTCCATTGCTTTCCCTTACTACACTCCTTTATTATTGTTTTAAATTATTGTACTTATCACTTTATGACCGTGCAAATACGTGACAACTTGTTTTAGTTATTGCATAAGCATGCTTTCAACATCATATTCCACTTGTGCAAAACAAAGACCATATCAACGCTTATAATGAGTGGTTGCACTCTTCCGATATTATCACCCTTATATTCGGCAAAGGCGTATTTGCGGTAAAACCAGTCGATCAACGGTGTAGTCGATGGTTCTGTGCCTTTCCCTCTTGAGTTGTCTGCTCAAAGGTACTAGTCTAAAACCCCCATAGAAACTTTACTCTGTTTAATTGTGCATGCATCATGGTCAAACCTAGCCGAGTCAATTATGTTGTCTGCATAATGACTCTTTAAGATAACCTTATCCAAAGTCCACTGGCTTTCCCAAAAACCCAAACGACACTATTGTGAGCACGTGATTTTTGCTTCACGGAAACTACTCCAAAAGAAATAAAAAAAAATAAA